GAAACAAACAATTTCAATAACTCGTTAAATTATGTTATTTGTTATCATTAACTCACGATAAGTTTAAACTAATATTGCTTTCCTCGAATATAATTGTTGAGGTGCTGGTTATGTATGCATTTTTGTGATGGTTGTGCACTTGTTAGTTGCATAATCCTTGACACTAAAACGAAGAAACCTTGTCTATAATGGGTATTTTGATGTATTTGTGAGCAATAAGCTCATATAACCGTAAGACCAAATCCCACATTTACACGATTAATTTGTTAACTGCAGAAGTACTTTGCAATGTGCAACGATTAAGTAAATCTTAATAATAAAAAGAAATAATGGCCATAAAAGTAATAATCAATGTTGACTATTTTGAAAAACGCAAAAGTAGAGTGTCATCTATGCGCTTTACCTTAGCAATATACTTAATTTATTTTCGTCAAAAATATATGTACAGAGCATATAACGTATGGGGGGTATTATTTGCACATCTTTTCTTAAGCTCCAGCTACTTTTGACTTGCTACATGCATTTCGCATTACAAAGTTATGAATTTTCTGCAAACAATCATACTTATGAACACCGTCAAGAAGTTGGAAGAAATAATATGTTCATTATCTTTGAATATTCAACCGCAGTTTTTCTGCAGAATCGGAAGACGTAATGGTACTTGTTTCGAAGGCACCAAAGAAAATCCCTAAATTAGTGTAATAATACTAATAACTGTTTTCTGTTCTGTTGGTTGTTAAGAGGCGTACAGTGTGGAGAGTTCCGTCCAACCAAACAATCTATTCTTACAAATTTTGTAATGTGCACATCTTACAACTTCAGAGAATTGTCTACGTAGTTTTACCGTGCTTTGCAACGGCTTCAAATTTGCAGGTAATTATATAACTGCAAGACGGACTCATTATGTTATTACAACATTTGATTCACAGACGAACAGTTCACAGAATGTACAACATTTATATGACATTTCTGTTTTTCGTATGTTGTCATTAGCACAAGTTAATTTGCCAACAAAATTATTTGGTTATTTATGACATTGTTTCTTAGAAAAACACCTGAAACTACCTTGTGTATAAAAACACCTCACTGAACTTACTTCCAAGCAGCTTATTTATTCTTCTTCAATGAAATTGAAAAAGGAGATCTATTTTTCAGAAATGTTTTGGATTGACATACTGATCAAAATTTATTTCGTCAAATTTCACAATGTTTTAATGTAATTAGAATTTGTCATCTTACAGAAAATTCCAACTTCGCTTTCGCAAGTCTTGGAGCTGGAGTTTCGTGATGCCAACGAGCGACTGTATCTTCAGTTTGCCCACCCTTTCTGCTATTAGTAGACGGATTGATAGTTATGCACATTCTGTTATGAAGTTGCCAAGTAAAAGTTTGGATGGAAATTAGAAACTCCACGTAAGTTAGGAACGTTCCATGAATAACAAAAGTTTAGATATAAAGCTTCATAAATAATTGTAACGTAATAATGGTAGTCAGGTGGGTAATAGAGGCTTTTCCGGAGGCGGAAAAGAGAAAGTGAGTGGATGGGAGAAGGTGACGGAGTTGGGGGAGGGGAAAGGGCAGGAGGGAGAGGGAAATGGCGCGGCACGCGAGCGACGGCATGGGCGAGTCCTTCCGTTGCTGCTCGTCAGAAACGAGTGTGGGACCTCTCACACGGTTTAAAACGACAATTTTGTTTTGCATTCGCATATCCACTTTAGAAGTCATCGCGGCCTGCAGAGACCCAAAAGAAGAATTAATCGCGGTCAGTGCCCTTCAATTTTCTCTACCGTCTCCCTGCGTCTCTTTTTTTTGTGTCAAACTCATTTTCTATTTCCAACCCCACTCCGTTCCCGGACGTGTTTATTTTTAGCCTTTTTCACGTCAGCATTTTTCATCTTCCTCTGCAGTATAAAAGGCAGGGAGCTTCTAATCAGTTGCCGGGACGAAGGCTGTGCAATGCGAAGGTACGTGAGAGAGAGAGAGAGCGAGCGAGAGAGAGAGAGAGAGAGAGAGGGAG